CCCGCGGCGGGTACACCGGCCAGCGGCGCGCTCATCTGCCGCGGCCGCGATAGGGCACTAGGCGGGGGCGGCGGGGGTGGAGACGACTGCCCCGCCAGCTGGTGCGGTGTTTGCGCGAGGGCTATGTTTGATGAGGTGTGCTCGCGATATATCGTCGATGACGGCATTTTTTATTTTTTATTTTTTTGACGCGGAAAGGTGTCGGCATGAATCGGCATGAGGCATGATGGTGTAACATATTTTACACTCGCAGAAACCTTTTATATTCGGGGTACAAAATAAGGGACTGTCTAAAAATATATGACTTATTTCGCCGGTATCCAGACTACATTTTAAAAGTCTCGAGAAGAGAGAGAGAGAGTGTGTGTTTTTACTACAGGCAGCTTCCGCGGTGGCTCGGAAGAGAGAGCTCGCTGGAGCCATGGAGAACTACTAAATGGTGCGGTCTAAGAGGCGGTGCGAACCAGACAGCTGCCCGCCGCAGGCACCTGGACCGGGGGTGGGGGGTGGGGCGGACTATGACAGCGACAGCCTATACAACTGCGAACAACTGCTCCCGCCGCCTCCGTGTCTCGATCGGATTAAAAACACGGGAAAATGGGAAGTGACCCGTGAGGAGAACGGCGAAGTTAGTCCGAGTCGTCGTCGCTACACATAGGGTGGTCCATAGACCCCTTTTTCTTTATTTTGCTTGTACTGTACCGCGCATGCACGGGTGCGGGCTGGTTTGCCTATCCGGCCTATCCTCACTGCCCACGGAACCTTACGGCCCCGTGCGAGTAGGCAACGGGCCCACACGAGTGCATGCGGTACAGTATAACAACGAAAATGTTTTCGCGCGGCATATGAGCCACCTGCTGGCCTGCTGGTTGCTGGTATATGGTGTATATGGTATACCAGCATATATGGTATATGGTGTTGAGTCGAATCCATCGACTGAGCATTATCCATAGCAGCCGACTAGTGATCCGGATTATATTTGCTCTCTAAAAACAATAATGTGGCATCCGCCGCAGACACTCAAAGATGTTACACTCACAGCATTTCGTGCTGGAGCGGTCAGCAAGTCCATTCCTATGAGAGTAGTGTAAGCTGTAAATTGGCGCAAATGTAAATCGGCCATCGTTATTGTCCTCTGATTTCGCAAACATACTAGGTGGCTGATTCACGCCGCGCACTTTCGTAGTTATACTGTACCGCATGCACGTGTGCTGGCGGGTTGCCTACTCGCACGTAGCCATAAGGAGCCGTGGCCCACGCGTGCATGCGGTACAGTATAACTTTAAAAGTGAGCGGCGTGAATCAGCGACCTGGTATTTTCTTTGGTGACAGTTCACTGGCGAAAAGTCTGAAAAGTGAAAAGGACGTAAGTCCTCGGACTCTTCCCATTGGACTTACGCCCTTTTCACTTTTTACCAGTGAGTTGTGACGCGGTTGTTGGGTGGTGGTGACGGTGTATGTGGTTGCCGAATGTCCCACACTCGAGTGTCAACTCTGTCAACAACGACACGTATGCGCCTGTGTGTGTCCAGCTGCACGCGCTGCACGCGCTGCACGACCCGCGAGCCATCGCGACCACGCCTC